CCATAGTTATCTTTGACTTCATTTTCTATTTACTGCATACATTCACTTGATTTATCTTATACCTCCTTATTTGTAGCTATTTTAGTGTACTGGCTCTGCAACTAGATTTGCCTGGAAAAGACTGTTTTTCCCCGTTGTCTCCGTACAACTCTACATCATGAGGTAAGTAGTACTCAGTAAAGCATCCTTCAAGGAACAAGGCTCTGTACTGTTATTTCTCCTTGGTTGATTTCTCTTTCAATTCCCCATAATGGCTGCTCCAAAAATCTTTCCAACCCTTTTTTCTTGTCTGCTTCTCTTTGCTCTTCCCCACTTCCCTAAATTGCCTCCTCATCTGTTGAGAAACTGAAGGCTATTTCTCACTTCACTTAGTGTTCCATGAAAAATAAGAATTTACTTATACTCTGCCTCTCTTTTCTTGAATATTTTGATTTTGAAAGAGGGAAATGTCTCTTTTAAGGCTTATTCTCCATTTGGGCCCTTGATGCTACCGCTTTCTGTGGTCTCCAATGTCTGGCTCTATTAGTTACACCTTTCCAACTTTCAACTTCAATTTTTATATTTCTCTGGCTCTTCCTTCCTCTTTATTTTATTCCTAAAAATAAAATTCCCCACACCCAGCAATCACTCATATTATTTCCCCACTCTCCAATTTTCTTACCAACAGACCTTTTGCTGCTGTCTCCTTATCCCTTCCAAACTCCTGGTCAAAGACTTCTGTCCCCTACCATGTGACCCAAATTACTTCCTCTTAGTTCAACAAAGATCTTCTAAGTATAAAATCTGATGTTTTCCCAGTCATTATTTGTGGTTTGTGTACTAGACTACTAAAATAGTATTTTTTTCCCCCTAACTCAAATAGGTATCCCAGGTTTTTACAGCATTCATTCCTCTCATGATTTGCCTCCTACTTCTCCACTTCTGAGTTTCTTTCATTGTCTCTTCTTTCTCCACATATCATTTTATTAGTCATTACTCCCAGATCCTTCCCGGAGTCTTTTCTCTTCCTGACGTAAACTCACTTGAAGGAAAACTAATCCAACTGCACAAACCTGGTTATCATCTCCATGTATACACTTCCTCTATGACCTCTAAGATTATTCTTCAGAGATCAACCAAACACATCTGATCACATTTTCAAAATGCCTCTCAGATTTGTCATCTCTTTGCATTCTTACAGTACTGGATATTCTTTCTTGTTTCCTTTTGTCAGGATTATCCAGAGTTGGTAAGCTGAGCAGTGGGCTGGATTTCAATTACCATTCTGTCCCTTGGCCAGAGCATTTATAAAGTGCACAAAATATGAAACTACTTCTATTGTTGTAATCCTAGTCAGGGTACCCATTTTGGCTGCCTACTCTTAATCAGAAGAGCCAGTGCTCTACCCTGGGCCCTACCTCTTGTCTCTCTTCCTCCATTTTTGGCCTCTTTCCTTGCTTCAACCTTTATCTTAAACTGACAGTCTTCCCTCCTACGTTGAGTATCCATTAGGTTTCCAGCCATTCAGTTACATTGTATTCCACTGTTAGATGAATCCTAGGAGTTTCACATCAGGAATGGAGGGAGGGTCAGGACATAAGGACCCACTATGGATTATCTCAAGGTAGATTATCTAAAATATAGCCCGGTCTTTTACACTTTCAGAACTCACATCCTGCTACAGTCCCTGGCAGAAAATAAGTGCTCAATGAATGTTAGCTATTATAATTATCTCTTGCTTGCGCTAATGTCAACAGAGTGTCTGTCTGTCCTCACCTTTTCCTTAAGCTGCATTAACTAAGGGCTTCTTTAGTTATCCTAAACCAAACATGTACCAGACTCAAGAAAGGTGCTTGGGAAAGTGGGGGAAAGCTATCTAAATAATTATAATAATAATCATTAACACTAATTTAACAATAACAATATATTAACCATAAACCAAATTTTTGGTTATATTATCTCATGTAATCTTCCAAAAACTTTATGGAACAAGTATTATTGCTACTTCCAGTTTACAGATGAGGAAAAAAGTCCTTATATAATCCTTCTTAAATTGTCCAGATATTCTGCCTCTAAAATGTTTCTCTAGAACATGAGAGGATGATGACGTCCTTTTCTTGCACACCTGTCTGTGAACTCTGCTTATGGTAGATTGGTTGGAGACTGCTGCTTCCTCAGACAATTCCATGACTCTCCACCTCTATGCTACCAGTAGTAAAGTTTTTTCATGTGATCCAAGGGGACTTTTACCATATAAGAATTTGTTGAAACTCCTTAGAGCGCTTTTATTCTGTGCCTTCAGCAGGTTTAAGTGGAAAATGAATGGTGTTCAAAAGTTTGGGGCACCCCTTCCCAATGAAAATAATGTATTTTCCTCACAGATTTGGTGTGGCAGAAACCAGCATGGAAAATGATAGTTCAAATTTCCACACAAGCAAGTCAGCCATCCAAGCTACATTTATTCCATATCTACCTGGGAGAGAGGGCAAGCCAGGAACACCATCATCCCCAATTCAGGGTGCCTTATCCTTCAACCAATAGGGTTTATGCACACATACTTTTTTTTTCTTTTTTTTTTAATGTTTACTTATTTTGAAAGAGAGAGAGAAAGGAGCACAAGCGCAGGAGAGAAAGAGAGAGAGGGAGACAGAGAATCCCAAGGAGGCTCTGCCCACCAGCTCAATTCATGAACCGTGAGATCATGACCTGAGCCAAAACTAAGAGTTGGACACCTAACTCACAGAGCCACCCAGGCATCCCCCTGCATACATACTTTTAACTGATGATTTCCAGTGGAAAATGTGCACAAAACAATCCGTTGGGGGGCAGGAAGAACTGTTAGAACTTCTATTTACATTGACTTTTTTAATCTAAGAAAATGAGCTGTGGCAAAATGTAGCAAATGGATTGGCACCACTACCTTCACACGGTCTACATATCAGAAAGTCACAGATCACTCACTACGGGTATATCTTGAGGAAATGAAGGCCAACCAGTTCAAATTTAATTGCCCTCCCTATGCGGGTAGCACTCAGTACTGTGCTAACAACAATTTCAGAAAAATTAACACTCAGGATGTTCTTTCGAAGAAAGAGTGACTTTTTTACATGAATAAGCAAATGTTTTTCAAAAGACAGTCACACTGCTGAGAGAGCATGTTTGTATCAATTTTTTTAAAAAATATCTATACAATTGAAAAACTTGGAAACCAATTTTTCTAATCTATTTATAATTTTTCTAAACTACAAATTAGTTCCGAAGGCTATTAAAAGATAGAAACAATTACTTCAATTAGTTCCAAACTAATAGGAAAATGAGTTTTCGTATTTTTAAGAAATGGGTCAAAACTGCTTTAAACCTTTGTTTAGACCCATTTATTAAAATTATAAAAATACAGACAAATTAAAATAAATAGTAAGTCAACAATGAACTTCTTCCATTTGCATCTTCATGTTTTTGTGATATATTCTTTTTTAGCTCTGATGGTCAAAAAGCCAAAAACAACAAGCTCAAAAACAAACAAACAAACAAACAAAACCCCAAGTATTAAAATAAGCCGAACTAAGTATCAGACTATTATTTATTTTTTAATTGTTTTTAATGTTTGTTTATTTTTGAGAGAGAGACAGAGAGCAAGCAAGGGAGGGACAGAGAGAGAGGGAGATAGAATCCAAAGCAGGCTCCAGGCTCTGTGCTGTCAGCACAGAGAGCCTGATGTAGGGCTCGAATTCATGAGCCATGAGATAATGAGCTGAGCTGAAGTCAGATGCTCAACCAACTGAGCCACCCAGGTGCCCCTAAGTATCAGACTTTTAAATCATTCTTTACAAAAAATTAAACTAAATTTTAAAAAAATAATGAGGCGTATTAACCACATAAATTTTAAGTCATTAATACATTTAGTGAAAGTAAAATAATTTATGTTCTAGTGATATAACAAGAATAATTTTATTTTTTTAAGAGAGAGAGAGTGCACGTGTTTAAGTGGGGGAGAGAGATTGAATCTTCAGCAGTCTCCATGCTCAACAAAAAGCCCAACATGGGGCTCAATCTCATGACTGTGAGATCATGACCTGAGCTAAAATCAAGATTCAGACACTTAACCAACTCAGCCGCCCAGAAACCCTACAAAAATCATGTTTAAAAGAAACATTTCTTTATCTCATCTTTCTTAATTTCTAACATCTGTGTATGTTTTAAATATATATATAAATATTTATTATGCTTATATACATAAAATATAAATATAGCTTAGAAAATGTTTATAATTTAGAGATAAATAAACTTATATTGATGAGTATTCATCACTTTTTCGGTTACTGATGCCATACACCATAAACAACAAGATCTTGGAGAAAGAGGAGAGTACATGCACATTTCCAGAGTCCTTCAAATAACCTTGCTTCAAGTTCAGATATACTTGAGGCATTAGGTAACTTCCTACCCTTCCCACACTCCTGATCTTTTTCCTAAAGTGGCAACCATCCTAGGTATAGAAACACATAACTTCGTAAGTCCTTAAGATGTTCAACCATATTACAACGGTATATTTGGCTGCTTTTATGAGTTAAATATTATAATTTCTTATTAACCTAATGGAAACTAAAGATAACTCAAATTTAATAAAACTCTTAATGTAAAATTCCAGAAATAAAAAGGAACATATCTCATTAATAATTCTTTAATTATACAAACTCATAACCACACCTCACTTAAGAATAACAAAATTCTGTGAATACATTTTAAAATATCTACATGCTAGTCTGTTGTTCCTCATACTAGGACTGCAAGAATACTCTTGGAGATACACAAATGAAACTTCAAGTTTCCTTTTATTTTGATATCAATGTAACACAAGCTTAAAAAGGTACATTCTGGGGTGTCTGGGTGGCTCAGTCGGTTGAGCTTCTGACTTCGGCTCAGGTCATGATCTCACAGTTCGTGAGTTCGAACCCCACGTCGGGCTCTGTGCTGACAGCTAGGAGCCTGGAGCCTGCTTTGGATTCTGTGTCTCCCTCTCTCTCTCTGACCCTCTCCCATTCATGCTCTGTCTCTGTCTCAAAAATAAATAAACATTAAAAAAAAAAATTAAAAAAAAAAAAGGTACATTCTGGATCATCCAAAAGACTACACTAAAAAAGATAATTGCCATCTATTTCAGTGTGAAAAGTTAGCACCTTTATTTACAACTATACTGAGACTAAGCAATAATAAAAAGACACCATTTGATTTTTAATCCACTTGGTCTCTAACACTAAACCTGCAACTCTAGAGTTCAGGAAGCTTTTTTGTTGTCAGTTGATGTTAAATAGATTATGTACCTTACTCAAGAATAAAAAACACTGTCATATTCAATTTATAAGTGGGAAATCCCAGCAGAAATAATAGAATTAATGTGCATGACTGATCTGTAACCTGATAAATATGGCTTGACTACTATATTCTTTGAATGAGCTATAAACACAAGATACAAGTCAGGTTATAAGAGAACTGTTCCAATTTAAAAAGCCAGTTTATCTAAATAGAAAAATATAACCAAATTTAAAGTAAGGTGATTTTCATGCTTTCACAAAGCTTTTTCTTCCCATAAATACTTCATAAATTGATATTCATAAATATTTAAGAAAGATCCAAACTTATTGTTTATTTATTTTATTTTGTTTATAGCACTCTTCAAAAAAATATCTTCCATTTAGTTAAGTAACATCGTGGTCTAATTATCAGTTGATAGATTTAGCACAACTAATTCATCTTTATTTACATATTAGACAACAATACAAATAACCCTACATACAGAATATTCAGAAACAACAAACTAAAAATATACAATAGGCATAAAATGTTAAATCAAATTTAATATATAATTATAAAATCATTTAAGAAATTAAATCTATTTTTATTAATTTAATAGCAACCATGGCTTTTTAATTCTTCACAGAGGCTTTGTGTTGGTAGTTTTATATCTGAAATTGTTCTAAGTTGTTTTGAATTTCAATTATTTTTTTTTTAACTTTTTTTTTTTTTTTTTTGGGACAGAGAGACAGAGCATGAACGGGGGAGGGGCAGAGAGAGAGGGAGACACAGAATCGGAAACAGGCTCCAGGCTCTGAGCCATCAGCCCAGAGCCTGACGCGGGGCTCGAACTCACGGACCGCGAGATCGTGACCTGGCTGAAGTCGGACGCTTAACCGACTGCGCCAACCAGGCGCCCCTCAATTATATTTTAAAATACACTGTGCTATCAAATCTAACCGATTGCAGAACTCATTCTTCATATATATATTACACACACATATTCTATCAAACAGTCTCTGGGGATTAAATATGAGTAAGATTATCACCTACCTTTCAAATTACACCTTTTGTTACCTAATCATGATTGAGCCATGAAAAGACTTCCAAGTGACTATATGCCATTATCATTAGAGAATTATAATAAAATACCAAACAAAATCATAACAAAACATGGTAATACTTTCTGGTAAAAACTGCTCATAATTTTCATTACAAGAGCTTATGGAATTATTAATATGTTTCAGTAATATTTTTTCCTAACTTTTACTAAAGATAAGATTATAATATTCTATATGTACAACTGGATCATTAAAAATTATAAATTACACCAGTATAGAGATACATATGTTCACTTTATTAAGCCATTGCTTATTAATAAAATGTCATAATTCAAATTGTTGTGCTATCTTTTTGAATATATGAGCCAACAATCAAAGAAAGTCCTTAGGAGGAAAGTATGTGACGAAAATGGGTCTTTATGACAATATCCTTTTTAAAAAAAAAAAAAAAAAAGCCAGTTCTCCAAACTGACATAATTAATAATTATTACCTATGTACACAATAATTTTTTCTCAAAATTTAAAGATTTTTTTTAATGTTTATTTATTTTTGAGCGAGAGAGAGACAGAGCGCAAGTAGGGGAGGGGCAGAGACAGAGAGACACAGAATCCCAAGAAGGCTCCAGGCTCTGAGCTGTCAGCACAGAGTCTGATGCAGAGCTCAAACTCACCCACCTGGGCCAAAGTCCTCTGCTTAACCAACTGAGACACCCAGGTGCCCCAGTTTTCCCCAAAATTTATTAAATGAATTTCTTACTAAAATTATCATAAAGATAAGTATCCCTCACTGTTTTATCAGATTTAGAATAAACTGTTCTATGTCAAGATATTGGCCTCGAGAATAAAATAACACCTAGTGATTTGAAGGAAAACGCTCATAAGTCTGTAAGAATAATGATTCAACTATTTAAAATGTTTTCTTTTCCATGTATAAAAATACACAAGTTAAATGTAAATATGAATAGTGATTTATTACTATTACTGGTTACTATTTATTACTGATACATTAAATGTTTAAAAGAAAGATATGAATTCTATAATATATTATGATTTAACACTTCATTCTGATGTATTCCACATATACAAATACCTTAGAAGCCACTGAATACATTTTTCTTTTATTTTACTTTGAACAGAAGCACAAATTGAAGCATATTTACACTGAATTTTTAAAAGGTATTATTTCATATGCAAACAGTGCCATCTTCTGGTAGCTGAAACTATGTGTATTGACATAAAATTCATTATGGATTGTAATTGCCATTTTCTTGACAAGTTATGTGTATAGCTTATTGAATAAAAACCTTTAATCTAAAATCAGTTGGTTTTTGTAAAAATAACCTTTAAAAACAAGAGTATTAATTAGCATGTCTTCAAACTGATAAAATTTTTAAAAAAGACTAAGAACTCTAGATTCTACCACTAAATCTTCTAACTAGATATTGAATCTTAGACTAACCATGTAGCCACTCAGGACCTCAGTTTCCTCAACTAGTAGATTGTTTAAATCATCAAATTACTTTCAGTTTAAGGTTCCATTTGATTCTAGCTTTAGAAATGTTTATTTCTGGTTTTAGCAGTCTAATACGGACTATAGGCCTGTTTATGACACACTTTTTCATAGGTATCTCTTTTATTAACATGTGTTTGGTTATGCTCTCTGCTTGAATTTTCTTCAGAAATAAATCTTAAGTTATGTTTATACTTCTCACTGTCCAAATAGCTTTCCTCTAAACATCAGAAAGACTTCATTGAATTGTAAATAAAACTAAACTCAGGTAACTGAAAATAAGGGTTTTTTTTTTTAAGTTTATTTATTTTGAGAGAAAGAGAGGGAGCATGTGTGTGCCAGAGAAAGAGAGGGGGCACTAGACAGAGAGTGGGGGAAAGGCAGAGTGAGAGGGTGAGAGAGAATCACAAGTAGTCTCCTTGCTGTCAGCACTGAGCCCTACATAGGGCTGGATCTCATGAACTGTGACATCATGACCTGAGCTGAAATCAAGAGTCAGACACTTAACCAACTGAGCCACCCAGGCACCTCCCAAAAGCAAGTTTTTAAAAAACATTCTGTAAAGATAAGATGGTTTAAATAAAATAGGTCAATATCAAACAAAACACTCAAAAATTAATAGGGGGACTCTTGGGTGGCTCAGTGGGGTAAGTGTCTGACTCTTAGTTTCTGCTCAGGTCATGATCTCACGGTTTTTGGAGTTCCAGCCCCACAGCTGGCTCACACTGAGTGTGGAGCCAGCTTTGGATTCTCTGTCTCCCTCTCTCTCTCCCCCTCCCCCACTTATGCTGTCTGTCTCTCTCAAAATAAACAAACTTTTTTATAAAACTATTTTTATCATTTATTCATTTTTGAGAGACAGAGACAGAATGTGAGCAGGGGAGGAGCAAAGAGAGAGAGGGAGACAGAGAATCCAAAGCCATGGGATCATACCTGTGCCAAAGTTGGACGCCTAACCGACAGAACCACCCAGGCATCCCCAAAATAAATAATTTTTTAAAAAAGTTAAAAAAAATTAATAGGAAATAAATCTCTCCAAAGCTTCTAGAATCTTAAGTGTTATTGTGTTAAATAAATAGAATAGGCTCAGAGTTTGGGCAGCTCTTCCTAATATCTCCATAGATTTGACCAACACTATCCTGTTGGATTTATCTATACTCCCAATTCTTGCCTCCAAATACCTTGCTCTGATATAGATCTTCTTATTCAAACTTTTACACATCCATCTAGTCCAGGGTCTCAACTTCCTAGGCCTGCATTACTAAAATATCCATTGTGGTCTACTGTTTTTCAAAAAGTAACATAAGGATCATTTGGGATGCTGATTAACATATGTCATATCCTACAGCCCATAGAGTAGACTGTCCAAAAGAAATCTAACATGAGTCACACATGTAATTTTAAATGTTCTTGTAGTCAGATTAAAAAGCTAAAATGAAACAAGTGAAATTAATCCAATGCATGTAAAAATATCATTTCAATATGTAATCAATTGAAAAACATAATATTTTACATTCTTTTTCTTTTATACTAAGTCTTTGAAATCAGGTATTTTTATACTTATAGCATATCTCAATTTGGATAAGCACACTTCAAGTGCCTAAGAGCCATCTGTGGCTAGTGGTTATGGTATTGGACTGCATTAGATTTGGAGAAGGTGGAATAAAAGGCAGGAACGTACATATAGCAAAATACCAAAGTGATTCTTTCACACTCTCAAGTATGAGGGCCACCACTCTAGACTGTCCTGTACATAATCCATTCTACAACCACTACTGAAATTTACACCTGAGAAATGCCCCTTCAATTATGTCAGTTCTAAGAAACTACATATCCCTGGTACCTCCAATTTAATCAACTCATGTGGATATTCAAATCTCCCAAAATGTGGCCTCACCTCATTCATCTAATCGGTTCTCCAATTTGAAAATGTCTTGGGCTCTTCCATGAAATTTTCCTAGGGAAATATTAAAATGATCATTCAATCAACAAATATTGATGAAGTACCCATAAAATGTCAACATGGATCCTCCATGGTAAAAGGGAAGATGTTAACACAAATCGTTACATAATTATTACAATTCCACTGTTTTCATTGTAACACTGAAAGCAATGCTCTGAAATAGTGCTAATGAGATGCTAATATAGAGCAGGACCTTATAGAGAGGTCAAAGAAAATTTCTAGAATACAGTTACATTTAAATAAAAAAATAATATAAATATAATTAGAAGTCTGAACAGATAGAAATTTCTAGGCAGAGAAAAGCACATTATCAAAAGCCCTGAGGTGGAAAAGTGACTAACAGAAGAGGCAGATTGGGAAAATAATCTGAAAAGGGGCTGCTGAGTTAGGCAGAAGGCTGATAAGGCCAAATTTATGAGACTTCAATCTGTCCCGTCCCTTCCCTTCCCTTCCCTCCCCTTCCCTTCTTTCTTTCATTTATTTAGAGACAGGGGAGAGAGAGAGAGGTGGTGGGGAGGAGCAGAAGTTAAGGGAGAAGAGAGAATCTTGTGACTGTGAGATCATGACCTGAGCTGAAATCAAGAGTCGGACCAACTACCACAACTGCCACGCGGGTGCCGCCTTTATTTTTTCAACTATGCATTTTTAAACAAAACTAGATTACAAAGTCCTCAAAAAGTACAGACCTGGCCTTTTTTTTTTTTTTGGAAAGAGAGACACAGCGTGAGCCAGGGAAGGGAGAAAAAGCAAGGGAGACAGAGAATCTGAAACAGGCTCCAGGCTGTCAGTGCAGAGCCTGTCTTAGGGCTTGAACCCATGAGCCGCGAGATCATGACTTGAGGCGAAGTAGGACGTTCAAAGAACTGAGCCACCCAGTGCCCCACAGACTTTACCTTCAAAGGTTAATTATTTCTTACATCTCTTCATAGAACACAAAAAACGTATTTAATAAATACTTCTATACATGGAAAACATACATTTTTCTAGCCATTTGAATTCTGGAATCTCCAAAATTATACCAACAATTATTTGCATCTTCAGATAATTTAAAAACTATATCACTATGAAACTGAAGGAAGTCTTACCTGAAGTGCTGAGTATTAATATAAAATTCCTTAGAAAGACAGACAATTTTTATTCGTAGTAAGGTGGGCATCATGCTCTACCAGTCTTATGCCAGAATTCTGACTCTAAGTTCCTGGTGGAAAGAGTGAAAAGTTGGTGATTTAAACACACAGATGAATCCTTAAAAGGGATCTCCATGAAGTCAGAGACTGTAAGTATGAGAAAGCTTATAGAAGAGCTATTTGGCAAAAGCCTCTGGCCAACAACTAGCAAAACAAAGAGAACCTCAGACTAAGAAACACAAGGACATTAATTCTGCTAACAGCCAGGGGCTTGGAAGAGAAACCCAGATCTTCAATGAGATTCCACTTGCAGACGCCTTTACTTCAACAGTGTGAGACCCTTAAGCAGAGCACTCTGCTATACCATACCAACTCCGGACCTACACGACTACGATAACAAATGGGTGATATTTTAAACCATTAATTTGTAGTAATTTGTTACAGAACAATAGAAAAGCAACACACTCAGGCACTTCTCATATAATTAAATAGCAAAGTATGTCTGGAACAAAGTTTTTGAGACTTCATTTTACAAATAATTTTGCTAGCTGCTTCAAGGCGGATAAAATTTTTGCGAAAATTGTTTCACAATTGACACGAACATTAATTATGCACTCTCTGAAATATTTCTCATCCTAATGTAAAGTCATTGAATTTGTGAGTCAAAATTCCCCTGAAGGTTCTTCAGTGTAGATGGGCCTTTTTGGTGCAATGAACTTACTCCTCACCACCTTGCCTGTGGGTGCAAAGTGCGCGGGATGGACGGAGCACAAGCTAGACTGCCAGATGCAGCCTCCAGCCGCTCCTGACCGCCTTACAGTGAGGCCGGGTGGAAGTAGGCTGAGCCCAGGACAGACATAGACACAGGACAAAAAAGGTTGCGGCTCATCCCTTTAACCCTAACCTAATTTCTCGGGAAAAGCCGCTCTCTCATACAGTAATCGTGCTCTCCAAGGCTGTGGCTTGGCTACCGCGCACACGGTTTCTTTACGAACTGCCAAAGCGTCTAGCAAAAGTTTCAAGCGCCCACTAGGGATCACTGGTGCCACTTAAGGTGCAGCTGGCGAACGGTTCATATCGCTTTGAAAATATCTATGAAACTCAGAAAAATTGTGCTCCCTGGCAGGCCTAAGGAGTGGCAACTAAAACCATATCGCCCTCCTCCTTCCTCGACGCAGTCTAGATTCCCACAACTAGAGGAGCCAGACCGGGACGCTCCAGACCCGGACTACCCGGAAATGCGTGACCACGCCTACCTACTGCGCCTGCGCGAGGAAACAGCTCAGGCGAGCGCAGACAGGCCCGACCCCGCCCCGTGGGGCGGGACCTAGAGGTTTGTCACGCCTGCGCAAAGGACCCGACGGCACGCTGCGTCGTTACTTTTGAAACGAGTGGCGGGGAAGTGTTGTGAAAGTCCCTGCTGTAGCTGTCTGCCGGGTGGAAGCGCGGCCCTTCGCTGTAGGCCTGGCAATGGCGCTGCAGCTCTCCCGGGAGCAAGGCATCACCCTGCGCGGCAGCGCCGAAATCGTGGCTGAGTTCTTCTGTAAGTCTTCCTCGCGCAGGCCGGAGGGCGGGAGAACTGAGGCCAGGCCGCCCGGTAGGCCCACGGCTCGGCCACGGAGGCTGGGTAAGCGCGGGGGCGAGGTTGCGGGGGTGCCGAGAGGCCCGGAATTCAAGCCCTCTCTGCCCCAGCCTCCTGCCCGGCTGGAGAATATAGGAGGAGGCGCATGCAGGCGCCGTTTCCGGATGCGTTGCTAATGGAGCTGGAGGCCTAGGTACTGCTGAACCGAGGCCTGTCTCTTGTCGTAGCCCCATCACCTGCCGAATTGCTTTAAACTGCTGATCATATGCACTTCCTCACCTGCCCCTCCCACCCCACCACCACCCAGGTCTCAGCGACTTGAGACGGAACACGACCGGGGTGGAGACCGTGTATGTTTTTAAGAACCCGATCTTCACGCTTTGATTTTGGTGTTGGGGTGATGAACTAGACTTTAGGAGGCTCGCTGTTCTGGACCAGGCCACTTGTACCTTCTGATAGAAACCGGCAGGATTTGTGAGGGGAAAAGGAAAAAGAAAAGAGAGGGTTGCCTGGAGCATTGGACCAGTAAAATCAGTTGCTAACTCAGACGCAAAAGCCGATCTTGACATCCTCTAGCCCGAATTTGGACTTGGATTACAGTGAGCTGAAATTTGACGGTAGTAGATTAATATAGTTTGGCGTTTTTTATTGCCACATAAGTGCAGGTATCGCGTTCTTTTACTTAGAAGCAAGATTTTAAGGATTTTTAATTCCACTTTTTACCTATTCTAATTTCAGCGACACACCCATAAACACGTGTCTAGGCATTTACAGTTTTATACCATTAATGAAATCATAGCCACAGCTAAATATGTTTTATTTTACGGAGTTACAAAGTGATAATAACTTTTCTTTAACATTCCTTTTGTTTTCAGCATTTGGTATCAACAGCATTTTATATCAGCGTGGCATATATCCATCTGAAACCTTTACTAGAGTGCAGAAATATGGACTCACCTTGCTTGTAACAACTGATCCTGAGCTCATAAAATACCTAAATAATGTGGTGGAACAACTAAAAGGTATTTAACTGTTGGAAACAATTTTGAGTTTTGCAGGCCTTCTATGACCCTTCCTTCCGGGCATCTTGGTGGTCGTTTTTTAGCTCTGTATATAAAAGTGTAAAACACTACAATCTCAAATATAATGACTCTCAATTGGAAGAAAGCAAAAATATATAAATTGAAAGAAATTCCACTTTTACCCTACATTTTGAGTGAGTTGAATATTTTGATGTTAGGTATCTGATACAGCTTCACAAAACAATCTCCATCAAGTCCCTTAGAAATGATTTTTGCAGTTCATGTGGCCAGATGGAACAAATTAGAATTTAATGTACTTATGATGGTGTTCATTGTCTGAGAAAAATCCACTGTATTTTTAACACGATATATTTTCTGTAGCTGCCTGGAGTTTAAAGCCATCGTTATGTTAGAATAAAGGAAAATAAAATTAGATCCAACCTGGGAATTAAACTTAAAAAAGTACAACTACTAAGTAATAGGACACCCAGTAGAAGTTTCTTATTTTTACCTATTTCCATTTGTTTTTGTTTTTGTTTTTGTTTTTAAATCCTGGGACGCCTGGGGGGCTCAGTTGGTTGAGCATCCGACTTGGGCTCAGTTCATGATCTCAGGGCTCCTGAGTTTGAGCCCTGCAATGGGCTCTGCTGTCAGCACAGAACCCACTACAGATCCTCTGACTCTTGTCTTTCTCTCTTTCAAAAATAAATAAACATTAAAAAAAAAAAAATCCTGCCTGTAAGTCAGTAAGCCTTTTCTATCTGAACACTCATTGTTTTTCCTTAGCTCAAGAAGTTACTGTATTGGATCACAATACTTATTCTCCATCTATTCCTTTTTTTTTTTTTTTTTTTTTTTTTTTTTAAATTTTTTTTTTTTTTCAACGTTTATTTATTTTTGGGACAGAGAGAGACAGAGCATGAACGGGGGAGGGGCAGAGAGAGAGGGAGACACAGAATCGGAAACAGGCTCCAGGCTCTGAGCCATCAGCCCAGAGCCTAACGCGGGGCTCGAACTCACGGACCGCGAGATCGTGACCTGGCTGAAGTCGGACGCTTAACCGACTGCGCCACCCAGGCGCCCCTCCTTTTTTTTTTTTTATCTTGTTTTTCTCCACTTAGGATTCTCATTTCTATTTTTTCTGTGTTGTAAGATGTTTCTCCCTACCTCCCCATTTGACCTCCCAAAATAATAGTTCCAAAAAACACTGCAGTTAGTCACCTATTTTTTTCTTTTTAATTCATAAGCCATCTATGTTTTTTCAAGTAGCTTTATTTTTAAAATTACATTAATTGTGGGGAGCCTGGGTGGCTCAGTAGGTTAAGTGTCCGACTTCTGCTAAGGTCATGATATCATGGCTTGTAAGTTCAAGCCTGCATCAGGCTCTGTGATGACAGCTCAGAGCCTGGAGCCTGCTTCAGATTCTGTCTTCATCTCTCTGCCCCTCCCCTGCTTGCGCAGTGTTTCTGTTTCTCAAATATAAACAAACATTAAAAATTTTTTAAAAATAGCATTAATTATATTTCTATTGCCTTTAGAACTAAATCATCTGTAATCCTGTATTAGGGCTGCCCTCAGATTATTTAGCCTGAAACCTCTAAGTAAGTATGAATCTATGTCATCTTAATTTGATAGAGAAGCAAGCCTGGCCTAAGCTAATGGTTTTGGGTTTTCTCCTTTAAGATTACACTCATGACATTTCACCTCAGATGTAGGTAGACCTTTCTATTTAACTTTTCCCATTTATTTTAGTTAACATGGAGGAATTGTTCTTAGAGGCAAATTGGTCTATTTGAATCCCATCCCTCTTGCCTTCTTAAGGACTTTACCCTTTTTCTTCTCTGATATTTTTGACTCCTTTGTTTTGAGTTACTTTCATTGGTTTAGTCAGTCTTTAGTTTTAAAAGAAAATAATTCCACCTACTCCACATCTTTAACTTACTAACCAGTCTCCTTTTCAGAACTAAATTGATAAAAAGTTGTTGATATATGCCAAGGGGTCAGCAATGGTCCCAGGCCATATCTAGCAAGTGGCCTATTTTTGTACAGCCTACAAAGAATATTTTCAAATTTGTAAAGGGTTGTTTTTTAAAAGAGTATGCAACAGAGACCTAGGTGGCCCACATGCCCTCGATACTACTAAATTGTTTTGTCTCTTAAAAAACAACAACAAACTGCTGATTCCTGAGTATACTGCCCCAATATCTAAGATTAATTCAGGGCTCATTCTGAGGCCTTCTCATTATAACCTCTCTAGATCTCTGACATACATAGATAGCTTCACTAATCTTTGTGTAGTTGACTCACAAACATACATCTAGCCCAACTCTCCTAACTCTGTGCTCATATATTAAATGAGTCCCTTGATATCTTCATGTGACTATCCCAGTGATATTTCAAACTCAGCATATGAAAAATGGGGCTCCTGGCTGGC